GAAACGTCAGCTCTCCTGCTCCTCTGATGCTGCTTGGCCTGCTGTGTTCATCCAGCTCTACACCTTGTTATCTCAGCTTATGATGCAACTGTTTCACGTTTCTAGCCCCCACCATTAGTTCATCGATGTTACTTTAGTGAGGTCATCTGAGCTATATCTACAATTACCTCTCTTTACAAGTGCCGTCTTCCTCTTGATCAATTAAACCACTTTTTTCGTCTGAATTATTGCGTATAGAAGAATATCAAAGAACGAGAAGTGACCTAATTGAAATATACAAGATTCTTTGGAGACTTGACAGGGGAGATGTGGAGAGGTTGTTTCTCCATGTGGGAGAGTCTAGGATCAGAGGGCGTCATCCGAGAGTAAGGCTTCAGACCGTGATGAGGAGGAATTTCTTCTGTCAGAGGCAGTGAATCTCTGGAATTTTGTTCCTATCAGGGCTGTTGAGGCTGGGTCATTAAGTATTTTTAAGGCTGAGACAGATAGATTTATACCCAGTAAGGGAATCAAGAGTTACAGGGGAAAAGGCAGAAAACTGGAATTGTAGATGATCAGATTATCCATGACAAAAACAGAAATTGCTGGAAAAGCTCAGCAGGTCTGGCAACATCTGTGGAGAGAAATCAGAACCTACGTTTTGGGTCGAGTGGAGGAAGGGTCACTCGCCAAGAAATGTTAACTCCGATTTCTCTCCACAGATGCTGCCAGACCTGCTGAGCTTTCCAAGCAATTTCTATTTTTGCCTCTGATTTACAACATCTGCAGTTGTCTTCGTTTTATTTAGATCATCCGTGATCCCATTGAATGCTGGAGCAGACTCAATTGGCTGAATGACCTACTTCTGCATCTTGTAGTTTTATATTCATTTCTCTACTGTTTGAAATGACCTGCTCCTGTTTCAATGACCATCTATCTGTTGGAACTCAATTTATATTTCCTCATTATGAGCAGTGATACATGTTGGCAGTTTTTAATGAGACATCATTGTATTTGACTGATGTTGCAATATCAAAGCTCCGAACCCTTTGGGTAATCAGAATGAGCTGACTGAACAGACTGTTCTTCATACTGTTGTGATCTGTTTGATTACTGCTTTTGAAGACATACACCAGCTGTATTTGTAAACACAAATATTGAAATTATTCCAGCCCCTTGAGCATCCCCTGACATACATCGCTTTCAGCTTCCTGGACACTGAGATCCAGAATTCCCTTCTGAACCCTGTACAATTTTCCTTTAAGATTGGTCAAAGTGGTAGGTTTTAAGAACAATCTGCCTTATTACCTGCTTCTGTGCCTTGGAGTCAAATTCATTCCAATTATGCTTCAATGACCATCTTAAGGGTTCTGTATAAATGCACGTTATTGTTTTTGCAAGATACTAAGGCTTGTGTTTATTTGATTTGCAGTGAGTCCTACAGCTGTGTCCCAGTTTCATTTGTCTGGTCCCAGTATGATGCGTTCAAACAGCATTCCCACTCAAGATTCCTCATTTGACTTGTACGGAGATTCCCAACTGTGTGGAAGTGCCAATTCGCTAGAAGATCGGCCAAGAACAATCAGCAGATCCGGATCGTTCCGGGACAGTATGGAGGAAGGTTTGCATTTTGGGCCTTTGTTTGGGGGGATTGGTTTAGTTGGTGCAGTCAAGAGAAAACACAGAAACAAAATTATATCAAGAGGGAAGATACTGGCACAGAGTTTCTGCCAATGGTGTGACTTCATATTTTTAACCAGTGTGGCTAGGCTCCAGTTAGGAGTTACCTGATTGGAAGTCACTGAAAATGACTTTAAACCACACCCTCCACACCCTATCCCTGACCCGAACCAGCTGATAGTTTCACTACTGTCCACTGATTAGCTGCTGAGCAAATTAAATATTTAGTCACATGAAGTTAATTATAAACTCTGCTGATTAGTTCCTGCATATCTAGGACCATGTCCAGAGCCATCGTGTATCTCCCAATCACAGCTCTGAACCAGCACAAAATAACCAGCACAGTGGCTTAGTGGTTAGCGCTGCTGCCTCACAGGGCCAGGGACACAGGTTCAATACCACCCTCAGGCGACCGTCTGTGTGGAGTTTGCACCTTCTCCCTGTGGGTGCCCTCTGGGTGCCGTAGTTTCCTCCTACGGTTTAAAGATATGCGGGTTAGGGTGGTTTGGCCATGGGGATGTGTAGGCTAGGTGGATTAGCCATGGAAATGCAGGGACACAAAGATAGGGTAGCGGGGTGGAATGCTGGTTGGAGGATTGGTGTGGATTCAACAGGCCAAATGGCTTCCATACAATAGGGATTCTATGAATCACATGACTGGGAACCCCTGTATTTGGCCATCTCTGTTTGATGTTACAAGTGTTGTTGGCCCACAGAAGCAGAAGCTCAAAGCCATCATTTTCTCTGAAATGAGTTTTAGAGTCACAGAAGCAGGCCCTTCGGCCTGCCATATCTATACTGACCAACAAACACCAAACCACACTAATCCCATTTACTGTGCCCTGGCATTTTCCAGAAGCTTCTGAAACGTTGTGAGAGAACCTACCTTCACCACCCCCTCAGGCAGCATGTTCCATATTTCCACCACCCTCTGGCTGAGAACCATTTCCTCAGAATGCAGGGTGGGATTTGCAGAGCGTGTGCAGACTGGGTTGCAGGTGAGGGTTGATGATGGATGGTTCACGCTCTGACCTTTACCTCATTAGGCATGACGCACATGCTGTCAGCGAAGATAGCTTGTCACCCGTGTCCCAGGTCCCTGCAGGAGCACGGCTTTGATATGTGTCTCTACTCTTAATGTATGTTTTTTTTTTCCATGTCCTCAGAATCCTCAGGCCCTCAATTAGGCATGTACATAGCTGTGACTCCAATGTCCCTCCTCCACACTGAATCCCACCCCCACTCAGTCCCTTCAAGACAGCAACCACACTTACAACAGGAACCTGGTGAGGTGAAAGACTGTGCAGTCCTGGGAATGCTAAGTTACTCTGAAATGGAAGTGTGATTGAGGTGAAAGCCACTTTCCTGATGAAAAGAACTGATTTGATTCTAACCCATAACCGTCGATACCTCCAGACCAATTCAACCTACATGCTGTGTTGGCTTTGCTCAGCGTTGATGTCAGTGTTGGAAATGTAAGTCCCTTTAAGCAACCAGTGCAGTTCAGAAGCTGATTGGGAGCAGGTAGTGCTCCAGGGACTGAGTAACTCTGAACTGGGTGCTACCCCTTCCAACTCCATTGTGATTGAGACCCCTCCCATCTCTCTATCTCTCCTTTGATGGTCTACATTGCCCTTAATGGACTTTGCTTGAAAATTAATCAGTTGGAAAGCACAGAGAATTACTGATGGTGGTGATTTGTGGAGATGAAAAATTAGGGTTCAGAGCACTTCTGGATATAAAGGAACAGAATGAATAGGGTGCTTGAGAGATCTTGTGGCACAGTGATAGGGACCTTTGAGCCAGAAGGTCTGGGTTCAGGTCCCACTTTCTCCATGAAACAAGCAGACAATTCTAATTGTCCTCATCCACAATCCCAATATTCACACACATGGAGAAAGGTGATTGTAATTTCTCCATACAGAGCTCTGCTAAACTCTGAGATGCCCCTCCGCTGCTAATGCTGTGAGATAATTCAGGGATTTTAATGACTCTATTCAGATCAATGACATTATTTCGGGAGCTTTTGGGAGCAGCATGTGTGTTTTTTTTTGTTAATTTTAGTAAAATTCAATGTCCTGCTGCTTCACCTGACATCAGTGTCCAAGTAAATGAGGCCTAACAACCTTAAAGGTCATTGAAGGAACAGAGACCCAGGACAAGGCTATTCAGCCTCATCCCTCACAAACTTCTTCTGGCATTCAGTTTGATCATGGCAGAATTATACCTCAGTAGCTTCGCTACACTGTCCTCAAAACCCTTACATAGGAATAATATGAAGCTCTTGTTGACAGCTCCAAAACTACTCCCTCCACCCTCTGTCCCTTTCATTTAGGAACAGGAAGAGGCCATTCAGCCCCTGAAACCTGTTCTGCCATTCAATGAGATCATGCCTGATCTGTGGCCCAACTCCATTTACCTGCCTTTGGCCCATATCCCTTAGTATCTTTGCTGAACAAAAATGTATCAATCTCAGATTTAAAATTGACAACTGACCCAGCATCCACTGATGTTTGTGAAAGACAGTTTCAAACCTCTCCCACCCTTTATATGTTGAAATGCTTCCTAACATCTCTCCTGAATGGTCTGTCCCTCATTCTCAGACTATGCCCCTAGTTCTGGAATCCCCAACCAGTGGGAATAGTTTCTCTTTATCCACCCTGTCTTTTCCTGTTAATATCTTAAAGATTTTAATCAGATCACCCCTGAACCTTCTAAATTTCAGAGAATAATGTATAACCCCTCCTCATAACTGAACCCCTAAAGTCCATGTATTATTCCCATAAACCTACATTGTAGCTCCTCCTTGGCCAATCTATCCTTCCTAACCTGCTCACAGTGCTCCAATGGAGTTTAACGAGAGAATTCCAAATGTCCATGTCTTCTTTGAGTGAGAGCCCCTCACAGTGAGGATCATTGTTAGGGAATGTATTCCTGCAAGTAGAACAGAAGCAAAACCAATCTGGGTCACAGTTTGTTGTTCTTGACTAGATGCTCGGGTTTTCTCTGAGGAAGCACTTTCTGATTGTGCTACTGAATGAGCTGACTCTACATTTAGGATGCAGCCCTCTAGCTCTGCACTTCCCCTGCTCCAGGTCATGGTGTTTGTTCCGCACTCGGACAATACCGATACGATGAGCTGCCCTTTAGAATGAGGGCAGCTATTCCTGACAGTGAAGGTTCTGCAATGGCATATTACAGATATTGCTCACTCCCTCCACCCTGCTTTCTGATTGCCCCTGCATGTCTGTAAGCAGATGGAGTAAATACCTCATGTTGTACTCGAATCATAAAGCAGGAGGTGGACCTCAGTACCCGGTCACTTCTGATTCCCTCTCTGCCCCACCACCCTATGAATATTGAGAAGCTAATGTGACACAGTAACTGGTCTATCCTTCCATTCCACCATGTCAGATATCCTCAGAGCTTGGTGAGCTCTACCGTGACCAATCTTGTTATGTGGTATGGATACAGTAAGACTTGGGTTCTCGAGTAAATACTGAATAATTGTCTCCTTGTATTTTCTAGTCCATGGCTCTTCGCTGTCACTGGTATCAAGCACATCATCTCTTTACTCCACAGTAAGTATGTGTGTCGGGGTTATTGGGCCTGGCCTGTGAACTCCCACTCTGACACTGCAGCTTCAGTCATATAGGAGGCTTCACAGAGACACTCCATTCTGCCCAGTGGATCTATACTGTTCTTTCCATATCCCTTCATGGGGCAGTGATGGCCCAGTGGCATTATCACAAGGTTATTAACCCAGACACCCTGATAACATTCTGGGGATCTGGGTTCGAGTCCTGCAGTTGGTAGAATTTGAACTTAATGAAAAACTGGAATGAAGATTCTAATGATGACCATAGAACCTCTGTCAACAGTTGGAGGAAAAACACCCATCTGGTTCATTAATGTTCCTCAGGAGAAGGAGGCTCCTTAGCCTGTCTGGCCTACATGTGACTCAAGACCCACAGTAATGTAGTAAACTCTTAACAGTCCTCGAGGATGAGCAATAAATAATAGCCTGGTCAGTGTTATCCACATCCTATGAATAAAAACAATGCAGCACTCAAGCCCGCCTGCTCATTCCTCGACTATACGAAGTTTCTCCTGAATTATTTTCTTGATTTGTTATATGAATGACCTGTATTCTTGCTTTTCTGCAAATGGCATCACACTCTCTGTTCAAAGATATCAAAACCATTAATTATTTTATGAGTGGAATTAGATCACCCCTGAGTCTTCTTTTTAAGAGAAGATATTCAATGTCTCCTTCTCCTTTCCTGGGGATTGCAGCATCACAGTTCTTACACCGATAGGGGAATTACTGGAGGTTAGCTCAGTTGGCCGAAAGGCTGGATTGTGATACAGAGTGATGCCAATAGCACAGGTCCAATTTCAGTACCAGCTGAGATTGCCGTCTAGGTCCCATCTTCTCATCCTTGCCTGAGATGTGGTGACCCTCAGGTTAAACCACCATCAATTCTCTCTCTTTCTCTGTCTAATAAGAAAGCAGTCCTCTGGGAATATGGTGACATTCATCTTCTGGTGCAGCTGTCCTAGACAAGGTGAAATAGCAATGAATGTGACAGAAATCATCAGGTAAAGTGAATCAAACTTCACGTGGACAGATTGGGAGTAAGAACAAGGGGAGAGACCCTTAAAGCCCAAATGATGATGGAGTGTCATCATGTTGACCTTCTGAGCAGGTTAATGAATCAATAGTCCACATGTGGACAAGTTGATTAAAGGGTGAGATCAACCATTGCAAGACAAGTCCTGAGCAGAAGGCCTGCATAGACTTAACACTTTAAATGTGGTCAAACAGCCCATGGTGCTTGGATCAAAGATTCAATGTTCAGGATATATTGGCCAGTGCACTGTAATTATCTCATTATTTCATCCACTCATTCAATAATACTGGTAGCTTTTGCTCCTCCTGAATGGTCCAGCATTTCTGCTCCGTCAGTTAGACAGTTGCCCCATTGATAAGCACAAGGTGATTATGGGCAGGAACTTGCTGGGAATGTGAGCTGATCACAGAAATGGTAAAAGTATGAAAGCCCCCCCTGGACCGCAGGTGATGTGAAGGGGCTATTGCTCTGTCATGTGAAGCACTGAGATCTGAGGATTGAGAGGGGGATACAAGGAACAAATTAAAGTCAAACAGATACAGCAAACAGAATAAAGGAGGAAAAGAAACATTGGATTGAAAGACAGAAAGGAAAAGTTATTGAGTAAAATGTATTTTTAAATTCAAAAATCTTGAACAATTCAATAGCTGCTTGTACATGGTCTGTATTCCTCTATTCTCTGCCTGTTCATGTGTCTGTCTATATGCCTCTTAAACTTTGTTACTGTCTCTGCTTCTCTCTCTCCCGGCAGCACATTCCAGGCACCTACTACCCTCTGTTTAAAAAAAAAACTTGCCTCACACATCTCCTTTAAACTTAGCCCCTCTCACCCCTAGTGTTTGACATTTCCGCCCTGCAAAAAGACCCTGACTATCCACCCTATCCATGCCTGTCATAATCTTATATATTTCTATCAGTTCCCTGAAGAGGTTGGATGGGTTTTGCAGCAAAATTAATCATCTCATTAAGAATTTCCTTGTACTGTTCATTACCAGCTGTAACTCACTGAGAGGGCAAGAAACAGCAATTTCATGAAACTCGTGGGAAAGTTCCGAGAAACTTTATGTGAAGCTACCAGGAGGACTGCAGTTTACCCAGCAACTTGTAACAATTGTCTATGACTCCTTCACAAGATAACGGGTGATTTGTGGCTGACTAACAGAGAGCACCATTAAACTCGCTGTTAATTTGGCAGCAAATTGCTTTCAGTAATTCCATTGGTTTTGTGATATAGTCAGACTGATTCTACATAACATGCTATCTCCTTTTCTGTCTATTACCCATCCATCAGAAACAGACAGATTGATGGAATCAGTAATGAATAGCTTTTGAAGGTTTTCAACAGACCCTTCAATCTGCTTCCACACACTTTATGTTTGACTTTGTTCCAGTGAGGAAACTGTCTGGCTCAGTGTGCCTTATAAATACAATCTGTCCACCTCACAGCGTAACAGATCCTGTGTTTCAGGTTGTCTGCTTTCTTGCTGTTACTCTACAGGCCTGTTTCCCTCAGGAGGGAGCCTGGTACTTGGAGAAAGTGTTTTTAAAACAGAATCACAGCAAGGATCACAATGAAATGAGCTGCAGACTTAGATCCACGGAAAAAGGCCATTCAGCCCAACTATTCTGAACTGGTATCATGCTTCCAATGAACTTCCTTCCAGCCCCCTCCTCATCTCCCCCATCACCATCACCTTCTGTTTGTTTCTCCCTCATGTACTTATCCAGCTTCCCCCTTCAATCTATCAACCCGGCTGTACAATAGTAGACATGAGTTATATCCCAAAATTAACAAGAGGCAGACTCAGAGCCAACACCTGACATCTGATAGAATGTACCAAATGGCAAATGTGATCAAGGCACAGTCTATGAATTCCTCAGCAATCCTACCCACATCCTACCCACGAGATCAGCCATGATCTTATTAAATGGCGGGGCAGGCTCGAGGGGCCAGATGGCCGACTCCTGCTCCTAGTTCTTATGTTCTTATGTCAATCTGGGTGACCAAATCTCATTAAAACTTCACAAGGGATTACAATTCTTCATTTCTCATGACCTTGTGGTGAAACTCCCTTAAAACCTGTCCTTTTGTAGTCTGCCTCAGTGACTGCTCAAATTCCGATGCTCCATCTTTCCTGGAACAGTGCAACAGTCCTTTTCCTCATGGAACCTGACACACTGTCTCTCTCTCTCTCACCTCCTCCTCTCTCCCTCTCTTTCTCTTTCTGTCCCCCTTCTCTTTCTCTCTCTGTCGCTGTCTCTCTCTATCTCTCTCTCTCTCACTCCAGTTAACCAAAGTACCACAACTGTTTTCAATGACCTGTTAAGAACTTTGTAACAAACTCACCCTTATTCTGAGGCAGTATTGAATGGAATTAATAGTTTCGAACAATTAAATGCCACAACTTGTTGGAACTGTTTGTCCTTTGAATGTTATGATGTTCCACAGATTGCTGGCTCCTACACCACAAAATGCATTAAAAGGAGTTTTTCACATCCTGAACAGTCTAGCTCCAACTTGAAGATCATGACCTTTTGTTCAAGACTCCGATCGTGGGCTTTAGCTTTCCTCTATCTACCCTCAGTACATTTGCAGCGTTATCTGTGAGAGAATCACATTTGGATATCACCTGATCCTTCCACATTTACACTGACTAGGATGTTTTTTGACTCATTGTCTTGACTGCCCGAGGGCTGTTTCACTTCTCCTCAGAAGACATTCGTGGTCCTGGCCTGGTTCGTGTTTTCCTCTCACCGCATCCCCATCCAACTTCCCCATCTGTGCCTGTCCCTTATGCTGAATTCCTGTTTTGGTGCCCCTTCTAAGACAGAAACTGGTGGGTTTGGGTATGATTCCAGATGAGACCATCAAATCATCTTTAAAACAGACAAAGTTTGAGATCCCAGATACTTAGTAAAGAAAACCACAAGGTTCCATGGCTTTACTGAGGCTAAACTTTACTGTACAATGTTAGAACATCATATATTTCTGAAGAAGAGTCCTGACCCGAAACATCAGCTTTCCTGCTCCTCTGATGCTGCCTGGCCTGCTATGTTCATCCAGCTCCACGCTGTGTTATCTCTGACTCCAGCATTAGCAGTTCTTACTATCTCTAATATATTTACAACTTACACTTTAACATCCAATATTAACATAAGTGGGAAAAGAGACAGACTGTGATCAAACACTTCACAGAACATATCAATATCAGATACAGTGAAGACAGGCACAAGAATTTCACAGCAAACCACCTTCTCCCCCAATATACACTCCAGCTCCATCATGGAAAGCCTTAAGGACTGCTCATATCCAGGTGCTTCAATCTCTTCCCCGAGACTGTATTCCACTGGATTCCCAGGCTGTAGTCAAGCATATGTGTTCAAGGCACAGTTCAAGTCACGATAAGCTCACTAACCTGGCACTACCCTGGGTTTATTCAAGTTCAATATTTATGAAGTGCACCACGTAAATGCTGCTTGTGGGTTTTCCTCAACCAATTCCACCCTCCCACCCCACCCGACTCCGGTCTCCAGTGTCAATGGCGTCCAAGGCTTTTTCTGAGCCCAAAATCCCCAGTGCAGAGCCAGCAACTCTCTGCTGCCTTCTCAGGACTTTGTCCAATCTCTGAATGCTTGGAGACCTTTTCAGGATGGAGCCTTTTTCCCTGATGCAGCACACACTCAGCCATGTGGACATGCCTGTTCTACCTCCATTTGGGTCTTATGGCCAGATTTGCACAACTCATCCACCCAGTAGATGCCTGCCTCTTTTTTCGTTCAAGGGCAACGCTGGCTGACCAGCATTTATTGCCCGTCCCTAGTTGCCCCTTGAGAAGGTGGTGGTGAGCGGCCTTCTTTAACCGCTGTAGTCCTCCTGCTGTGGGTTGACCCACAACGGCCTTAGGGAGGGAATTCCAGGATTTTGACCCAGTGACAGGGAAGGAACAGCGATATATTTCCAACTCAGGATGGTGAGTGACTTGGAGGGGAATTTGCAGGGAGTGGTGTTCCCATGTATTTCTTGCCCTTGTCCTTCTAGATGGAAGTGGTCATGGGTTTGGAAGGTGCTGTCTGAGGGTCTTTGGTGAATTTCTGCAGTGCATCTTGTAGATGGTACACACTGCTGCTACTGACCGTTGGTGGTGGAGGGAGTGGGATGTTTGTGGATGTGGTGCCAATCAAGCGGCTGCTTTGTCCTGGATGGTGTCAAGCTTCTTGAGTGTTGTTGGGGTTGCACCCATCCAGGCAAGTGGGGAGTATTCCATCACACTCCTGACTTGTGCTTTGTAGATGTTGAACAGGAAATAACATTCGAAAAGCATATTGTTTCCTCTGTTTCTCTCTTCTGTAATGCTAAAGTGAAACAAGTTTAGACTGTTCGAACTGAGTTTCCAATAGGTTTCTGACAGCAGAACCAAGGTTGTGGCAGTTGTCCCTTCTTCTTCACATTCATTTGTGGCAATGTCTCTTTTCACTTAATCAGGCATCAGTCCTAAAGACTCACCTGAAATCCTGAACGTCCAACAATGCAGCATTCCCTCACTGCTGTACCACTGTCCTTTGGATCTCAAACCCACAACCTTCACTATTCAGTGGGGTGTGTGTGAGCCACTGAACTTTGCCTGACCAGGTCTGAACGGGAATCATGTCACAGTCTCCACTGTGATATTTACTGGATGTAGCTCCGAAATAAAAGTTGACTGTGAAATGTAGCAGCTCCTGTTCATAGATAGTAGGAACTGCAGATGCTGGAGAATCCGAGACAACAAGGTGCAGGGCTGGATGAACACAGCAGGCCAAGCAGCATCATAGGAGCAGAGAGGCTGACATTTCGGGCCTAGACCCTTCATCAGAAAAGGGGGAGGGGAAGGGGGTTTTGAAATAAATAGGGAGAGAGTGGGAGGCGGATAGAAGAGGGATAGAGGAGAGGATAGGTGGAGAAGAAACAAACAGGTCGAAGAGGCGGGGATGGGGCCAGGAAAGGTGAGTGTAGGTGGGGAGTTAGGAAGGGGATAGGTCAGTCCAGGGAGGACGGACAGGTCAAGGGGGTGGGATGAGGTTGGTCGGTAGGAGATGGAGGTGCGGCTTGAGGTGGGAGGAGGGGATAGGTGGGAGGAAGAACAGGTTAGGGAGGCAGGGACGAGCTGGACTGGTTTTGGGATGCGGTAGGGGGAGGGGAGATTTTGAAACTTGTGAAATCCACATTGATACCATTGGGCTGCAGGGTTCCCAAGCGGAATATGAGTTGCTGTTCCTGCAACCTTCGGGTGGCATCGTTGTGGCACTGCAGGAGGCCCAGGATGGACATGTCGTCTGAGGAATGGGAGGGGGAGTTGAAATGGTTCGCGACTGGGAGGTGCAGTTGTTTGTTGCGAACCGAGCTCCTGTTCATAGTTTGTCTGTTCACATCTCAACTGGAATGGGAGCCACTATTCAAGTCAGTTTGTCAATACTGATTTTTCAAAATGGTCTAATTGAATAGTGTTTTAGTAGCAGAATCTCATGCACGACCTGAATCACCTTGAGCTTGATTTCTCAACATCTGTTTAAAATTGGGTCTTTTTATGTTCCTTTCTAGGCTGAAGAGAAAGCACATTCTGAGGTAAGAAGTGTAATGTGTTAAACAGCTGGTTCTAAAATCAAAAACTGCTCACTCCATATTGAATCCAGTTACCATATTAATAGCTAGGATGTGTGCATATGCAGTTTTCATCCCAAACATTGAAATTTAAACAGATGGGAGTGAACCTCTGCACTTTATTTTACCATTCTTTGGGATGTGGGTCTGATTGGTAAATCTACAATTCATTGTACATCCTTAAATGGCTCTGACAGTGAACTGTTGCAGTTCTGTGTGGTCTAAAGATAGCCAGTGTGTGTGTGTGTGTGTGTGTGTGTGTATGCGTGTGTGTGTGTGTGTGCGTGTATCTGTGTGTGTGTGTGTGTGCTTGTGTGTGTGTCTGTGTCTGTGTGTGTGTGTGTATGTGTGTGTGTCTGAATATGTGGTCTGTATGTGTGTGAGAGTGTGTGTTTGTGATTGTGTGAGAGAAACAGACAGACAGACAGTCAGAGAGATAGTGGAGTCTCATTGTTATCTGCTGCCCTTGTCCTTTTGTGATGGTGAAGATTGTGGGTTTGGGAGGTGCTTTGGCAAATGAACATTAAAATGGAGTTCGATTATACAGTAACTGATTGGAAGATGCATTGGATCTGCAACCACTTTTAAAATCAGTTTTGTGCTAAATTTACACTCAATGAGGAGCCAAACTGAAGTGATGTGAGACTGTCCCCTCCTGGGATTCTCACATCAGGTGGATGTATGCTGTCATACAGGAAGGTCATTAATCTCAGTTTGCCCATGAAAGAGGTGTGCAGATAGTCTCACCCATTTGCTCTTTCCCCACGGCCCTGCAAATTGTTTTCTTTCAAATATTAATTGATTACCTTTTAAGAAAGTTCAATCTCTTTCCATCACCCTCTCACACAGCAGATTCCAGAGTGCAGTGTGCAAATTGCCCATGTATCATTTCTGATTCTTCTGCCAATTGTTTTCACCTTTCAAGATAGAAACTCATTAATGATGAAGAAAGGGACAAAATTCACGTGAAGGACAAGGAGGCCTTGGAGAGAAATGTAGGGAATTTTATATCTAAAGGATGGTTGGGAAAAATGTGTTGGGTTTCTCAAGGGATCCTGTGCTAGTTGATTTGGTTGCTGATTGGTGACTGCGAGTCTCTCACATGAAACCATTGTATGCTATAGAAACTTTTTCAAACTCAGATATTTCTGTTTTGTGTAACAGCAAATCCGAAAGCTGCGCAGAGAGCTGGACACTTCCCAGGAAAAGGTTGCCTCCCTCACCTCTCAACTTTCGGCTAATGTAAGTCACTCTTTTCTCCTACTTAGAAATTAATTACTGGAGGAAAATTAAAGACACCAAAAGGGCATTTGGATATTTACCTAATAGTTCCTTAGAAACAGGTTCAGCTGACTGATACTCAAATGTAGTCAAGTGTCCAGCAGATGCAAATCCAACTTTGACCGAAATTGTTGTAAATAATCTGCACTAGTTGACGGAAGTTAAAGCAGCGTTTATAAGCAAGACCTTTCCCAGCCTTGGCTTAATAATTAGACGTTCAGAGGCATTACCCTCAGCAAATGGACCGTCACCAATATAAACAGAGAATGCTGGAGAAACTCATCAGGTCTGGCAGCATTTGTAGTGAGAGAGAAACAAGAGTTAATGTTTAATGTTAATACCCTTTCATTAAAACTGGGAGCAAATGCAGTGATGTGGTGGAATCAAATGGACAGTAACAAAATCTACAGATGATGCATTAATGGACGGAAAGGCAGTTCTGCGAAAGGGATAGAAGCAGTTTATGGAGAGGTATTGACGGATTATGTAACTGGGCAAGAAGTTAGCGAATGGAGTGTAACGTGGGAAAATGTGAAGTTGTTCATTTTGAAAGGGAGAACTAAAGAAGGGAATGTTATTTAAATGGAGAGAAACTGCAGAGGGCTGCAACACAAAGGGACTGGGTCGGGGTGGAGGGGTGACTTGTGCATGAAATGGAGAAAGCTAGGGGTAGCAGCTAATCAGGAAGGCGAATGGAATATTGGCCCTTATTTCATGGAAGTTGGAGTCTAAGAGTAGGGAAGTCTTACTGTAACTGTACAAGGTGCTGGTGAGACCACACCTGGAGTACTGTGAGCAGTTTTGGTCCCTTTATTTTGAGGAAAGACATAATTTCAATGGAGACTGTTCAGAGACAGTTCACTAGGATGAGCCCTGGTACGGAGGGATTGTCTTATGAGCAAAGGTCAAACAAGTTGAGACTCAAAACACTGGAGTTTAGAAGAATGAGGGGTGATCTCATTGAGACCTACAGGGGCTTGACAGGGCAAATGTTGAGAGGATGTTTCCCCACCATGGGGGAGTCTAGGACCAGAGGGTGTAGTCTCAGAATAAAGAGGGAGCCAATTTAAGACTGAAATGAGGAGGAATTTCTTCTCTTAGAGGGTTGTGAGTCTTTGGAACTCATTGCCACAGAGAGCTGTGGGGGCAGAGTCCTTGTGTATATTTAAGGCTGAAACACATGTGTCCAAAAGATTGGGAGCAGAAGCTGCCTGTTATATTTGATGTTCTCGATGTTGCATTGAGTAAGCTGCAGGATGATTGACTGGACAATGACTTGTTGCTGCTTGAGGTTTTGAACATCATTGGGATGGTGAAGGGGCCCAGGGACAGAGAGGGCAGTGTAGGAGGGAACATTGAACAGCAACTCTGAGTCTCAACTGCATATTAAAAGGAAGAGTCCAGAAAAACATGAACTTTATCTGTGTTTACCCTCCCCAGTGTAGCGTCAAGAGAAGTGAAGACCAATCAGTAACTTGAAAGCAGTCCAAGAAACACACTGGTTCATCTGATGTTCTGTCTCCCTTAGCCTGGCTGACATTTCTTCTTCAACAAATGTCAGTAGGAGAACAGATTATCTGCTCGTAATGACCTTTCTATTTATGGTTCCTGACTCTGTACAGAGTACACAATTGCCTAGTGGTATTATCACTGAACTGTTAATCCAGAGACCCGGGTAATGTTCTGGGGACCTGGGTTTGAATCCTACCACAGCAGATGGTGGAATTTGAATTCGATTAAGATCTGGAATAAGAGTCTAATGATGACCATGAATTGATTGTTGGGGAAAAACCGATCTAGTTCAATATTGTCCTGTAGGGAAGGGAACTGCCATCCTTAACCGGTCTGTGACTCCAGACCCACAGCAATGTGGTTGCCGTCTGGGCAAGTAAGGATGAGCTATAAATACTGGCCCAGCCAGAGACGCCCTCATCCTGAGAATGAATTAAAAAAAATTGGTTGCCACCTTTCCCTATGTCACAAATTTGATTATACTTCAAGTGTCTTTGCTGTTGGCTGCACAGTGATTGGGGCTATCCTGTTCATTTAAAACAACATAAATGTGAGTTCTGTCTTTGTAATGTTCCTGCTGATGGTCTGATAAACTCGATTAATCCAGTTGCAATGTTGATCAGCTTCTCCCACCTCCTGGGGACACAGTACTGGCAGATTGAGTATCTCGAGCCTGTTTGTGCGAAGTAGGGGTCACAGTGAAGATGCCTTTATCCAGGGCTGTCTCCCTGAACGGCCAGTGAGTCTAGAACACAGGCAAGGAGCTTCTGGATAATGTGTCAGCCATTCAGGTCTGAGCTGAGGAGACTGGAATACTGTACCTCAGAGGACTGGGGTGTTCAGTTATTGAGTAGGTTCAAGACAGGAATCAATAGATTTTTGGGTATTGGGAAGATGAAGGGATATGGGGGTAGTGAGGATTATTGTTGAGGTTGATGGTCAGTTGTTATCTTATTGAGTATCCAAGCTGAGTGAGGGGACTATACAGCCTAGAACATGAAATATAACATCTAGGAGTAGGAGTAGGCCATTCAAGTGTCCCCTTGAACCTGCTCCACCATTTAATACTATAATAACTGATCTCATCTTGGCCTCAAATCCACTTTCCTGCCTGGTCCCCATACTCCCTCAACTCATTACCCATTAAAAATGTATCTATCCACTCCTTGAATTTACTCAATGGTCCAGCATCCACCTACTCTGGGATAGTGATTTCCTCAGGTTCACAGCCCTCTGAGAGAAGTAATGCCTCCTCACCTCGTAGGGTCATGCAACATGGATACAACTCATTGATACTGACCAGATATCCTAATTTAATCTAGACCCATTTGCCAGCATTTGGCCCCTATCCCTCTAAACCCTTCCTATTCATGTACCCATCCAGATGCTTCTTAAATGTTGTAACTGTACCAGACTCCACCACTTCCTCTGGCAGCTCATTCCATACACACACCACCCTCTGCGTGAAAAACCTGCCCCTCAGGTCCCTTTTATATCTTTCCCCACTCACCTTAAATCTATGCCCCCTAATTTTGGACTCCCCCACCCCAGGGAAGAGACATTAGCTATTAACCCTATCCATTACTGTCATGATTTTATAAACTTCTATAAGGTCACCTCCTCAGCTTCCAATACTCCGGGGGAAATAGCCCCAAACTATTCAGCCTCTCCCTGTAGCTCAAACCCTCCAACCTTGGCAGCACCCTTGTAAATCATTACTGCACCTTTTCAAGTTTCACTATAGCAGCATCTTTGTAAGTTAATTCCCCCTGGCTTTTCTTTTGCAAGTCAAGTGGTGTGCTTTGTTCACTCCTGAATGTTCTGACAAGGTGCTGTTGTAGACAAGGCTTTGTCTTTGAGGGGAGTTCTCTAGTGCCTGCCACCTTTTCAAAACACAGGGACTGGATTATGTGTGTGCACAAGGCAACATCCTTCATCTTAAACAGCTCGAAAAGCAGCCTGTCAGAGCAAAGGAACAATGGATAATTGATGGACCATTCATTTGGACCTGCAACAATATTAATTCAGTCGAACAGATGATATTTACAATAAATATACTCACAGGGGAGATCCAGCTGATTGAGTTGGTTTGCTAAGTTGTATGAACAGCATCTTAATGTATAATATGTTAAAAACTTTTTATAATGATCAAACTAGAAGGTGAAGCAATTTCAGTTGTTTCTTCAAAGATGAATTGTTCATTTTGCATACTCTTTGAACCAACAAAACCATTTGATTTGCCCTACCTTCAGCTGGTTTGTGAAGTTAACATTGTTGGTGTGTCTTGATTATATACGAACTTGTAAACACTTCAACAAGGAACAAGAGTAGGACACTCTGCCCTTCGAGCCTGTCCCTCCCATTCAATAATCTGATTTTAACCTCAAATCCACATTTGCTTTGGCCAATCTGAGTTGACTTACAATCCAACAAGCATCCTTTTCTCCTGTACTAGTAATTACTGTGATTGTTTGAAATTTGACATTCTTGCATTAGTCGCGGTGAATGCGAGAGGAAACGCTTCCGCGCCATATCTCTCCTTTCAGCACTGTTAATATTGTTGTGCAGTTGTCAGTAAGTTCCTCTCGCTCAGCATTATTAAACAAGTACATGTCAGCAAGAAAGCAGAGCATTTGAGCTGAACAAAACTCCTTGGAGAAATTTAGCTTATGGCAGAGATTTTTATTAATAAGTTTCTTACAGAATAATGAAATACCAGACATCAGTATGCCACACCATTCCGATGACAGCAGCAAGCGTATAAGCGTTGGGCTAGATCTGTGATTTTAGACGTTACATTTTAAATCTTCAACAGTCTCGTCCCAGCAACCCCCCCGAAGGAATATTAACGTTGATTCCATTGAGTTCATTGTAAAACTAACAGACATTGGGAACTATGCAGAGGTTTTGAAATGAGTACCACTGTTGGAATTGCAGTCTATAATAGAGAATGAAGTGCTTATTTGTCGAGAGACTTCCCAAAGACTGAGTGAAGGAAATTTGCTGATGTTTCAGCTTGGAGCTCAGCTATAATCTGAGAATATCCCATTATAGCTCTAGTTAGCCCGATTCATATTGCATTCTGGCTCTGATAAACCATAAGTGTGTCGTTGGGGATATAGTTTCAATGTTTCGTGGTCTCTGGCTTATTAAGGAATGGTACATTGCTTTGAGTTGCTTGCTTGCATTGTAGTAAAGAGTGGTTTCTTTTGATGGGAAGCAGAGAGAGAGATCTGTCAGCACTGGGATATAATTACATACCTCTCACCGAGAACAATTCAACAATGATGATAGACCTTCTGACACAAACCGTGTTTCTTGTACAGAGCTTTTTTTAATTGAACCCAGGTGCCGTTTTATTGAAGATATTTGACAGTTTTGTCCCCTCCATACGATTGATGTTCCATTTAGCAGGAGTCAAATTGACAGAGAAAGTTATTACGTTGTAATGAGGCCTGTCATTTGCCCAATGTATAAGTGCATTTGAGGCCCTGAATACTGATGCAGTCTGTGAATAAATCTACTTATTGCTACAGGCAGTCCATGACTTTTTACAGCCTTGAGGTGATCTGAGTTTAGAAGTGGGAAGGATTCCAGATTTCCAATTTGCCTTTCACCCACGAAGCCATGGAATTGCAGGCAAAGCAGTCTCCTGGTGATGGACTTCCCAGGATAACCTGAGTCTTAACGCCATATTTGTGGAGCTCATTGGTGACCAGGCCTGGGCTTGGGGGGAGGGAGAGGGAGCAGTGGATAGCAAATGCCGGAGACTTTGAATGAGAAAGATGTTTGTAGCAAAAGTTGCAGACAATCTTAAACATAAGTAAATTGCCTAATTGTGAAAAAGTAGCAAAGTGAGTGCAAACTGCTGCTCAAACTTTCCCAGAGTAATTAACACCTTCGATGTACCTCCATGAAGTTTTTCCAACAATTGTGTCTCTATAGCAACAGCAAGTTTGTTTCCATGGAGATAACTGCTTCAATCTATCTCAGTCTCTTGGGCATGGGGCTGTGAATGATGATATAATTGTTTTACTGGTGTTGTGATTCAACTTTTGAATATTACTGAGTAGTTTTGATGAGAGCAAAGGTATTAAGGGATATGGACCAAAGACAGGTATATGAAGGTAGGCCATAGATCAGCCATGTTCTCACTGAATGGTGCAATGGGCTCGAGGGGCTGAGTGGCCTACTCCTGTTCCCAAGTCCCTATACATTATTACTGGGCAGTGGGTTCTTAATGTTGATAACAATGAGATGTTTGGACATTCAGTGCTCTGCTAGACCTGTTTCTGGGGAATAAGCTTCAATTTGTGTCAAAATGAACTTTAAACAGTTCATTATATTAACGCTGTTATATAAATTTAACTTAATTTATTTACCACTGCATCTATAATTCGTAATTGACTCCATCCAATAACTTGATAGAAAGCAGCAAAAAGCATCGCTCTATAACATTCAGAAATGTCAGAAATAGTTCTGTGAGATTTCTACTTAAAGGTTTTGGGAAAATGCTGGATATTAATCAAAGTGCACTCATTGTTTTTAAAAAGAATGTCTTTGGAAAAGTAAGAAAACTCAGGACACAAACTTTAATTGACAAGAAACCTGGGTTTGAAATGTTTGTACATTATAAAAGGGAATAAGGATGGAGGGATTAAGGAAAAAGTAACGATAATGTTTTTGAGATTATGGGAAAATATGGGGAATAAAATCAGTTGCTGCATCTAATGGTTGACAATGTTGATACCCGGAATAAATATCTCTTAGCATCATTTGAGAAACCTACTGATGCACACTGTATTGGTACTGCATTTTATTTCACAACGATGCAGTCACATCGCAACAATGGGATTGTGGCAATGTCCTTCACATTCGACCAACAGGAGTCGCGGCAACCATTCCAATCAGTCATAGATAACAAGGTGTAGAGCTGGATGAACACAGCAGGCCAAGCAGCATCAAAGGAGCAGGAAGGCTGACGTTTCGGGCCTAGACCCTTCTTCAGAAATGGGGGAGGGGAAGGGGGTTCTGAAATAAATAGAGAGAGAGGGGGAGGTGGATAGAAGATGGATAGAGGAGAGGATAGGTGGAGAGGAGACAGACAGGCCAAAGAGGTGGGGATGGAGCCAGTAAAGGTGAGTGTAGGTGGGGAGTTAGGGAGGGGATAAGTCGGTCCGGGGAGGACAGACAGGTCAAGGAGGTGGGATGAGGCTAGTAGGTAGGAGATGGGGGTGGGGCTTGAGGTGGGAGGAGGGGCTAGGTGGGAGGAAGGACAGTTTAGGGAGGCGGGGACGAGCTGGGCTGGTTTTGGAATGCGGTAGGGGGAGGGGAGATTTTGAAGCTTGTAAAGTCCACATTGAGACCATTGGGTGTAGGGTTCCCAAGCGAAATATGAGGTGCTGTTCCTGCAACCTTCGGGTGGCATCGTTGTGGCACTGGAGGAGGCCCAGGATGGACATGTTGTCCAAGTAGTGGGAGGGGGAGTTGAAATGGTCCGCGACTGGGAGGTGCAGTTGTTTAGTGCGAACCCAGCATAGGTGTTCCGCAAAGCGGTGCCCAAGCCTCTGCTATACTCACCTTTACTGGCTCCATCCCCACCTCTTTGACCTGTCTGTCTCCTCTCCACCTATCCTCTCCTCTATCCATGTTCTATCCGCCTCCCCCTCTCTTCCTATTTATTTCAGAACCCCCCCCCCCTCCCCCATTTCTGAAGAAGG